AGAATTCCCAAGGTGATCATCACAGACAATGCTACTAATCTCAACAGTCATTTGATGAAAGAGGTATGCCAACAGTTCAAGATCATACATCGGAACTCCACTCCGTATCGCCCCAAGGCAAATGGAGCTGTTGAGGCTGCTAATAAGAACATAAAGAAGATACTTCATAAGATGGTGCAAGGTTCTAGGCAATGGCATGAAAAGTTTCCGTTTGCCTTACTGGGTTATCGCACTACTGTTCGCACTTCAGTTGGTGCAACTCCTTATTTGCTGGTATATGGAACTGGGGAAGTTATAGCTGCGGAGGTTGAGATTCCATCTCTTCGAATCATTGCAGAAGCTGAAATTGATGATGATTAGTGGGTCAAAACCTGCTAGAGCAGTTGAGTTTGATTGATGAGAAAAGATTGATTGCAGTATGTCATGGCCAATTATATCAGAAGAGAATGGCAAGAGCATACAACAAAAAGGTGCGTCCTCGGAATTTCGAAGTGGGCCAGATGGTATTGAAACACATCCTTCCTCATCAGGTGGAAGCTAAAGGCAAGTTCGTCCCAAACTAGCGAGGGCCATTCGTTGTGACAAAAGTGTTGTCCAATGGTGCTTTGTATTTAACAGACATAGAAGGAAAATGTGTAGATATGACTATCAATTCTGACGCTGTTAAGTGGTACTATGTATGATTTCTTTGCTTACCTTCAATTGTATTTTGTACTTGGCATGTTCAAAGTTAAAATGACAAAGGCATTTTGTTCCGCTACCCAAACACTTTCATCCTTTGCTACCCCTTTTGAGCCTTATCTATTTTCTTACATACCCCTCTTTTGGAATCAGTAGCAAAATTAGAGAATGAAAAAAAATGATGAAAAAAAATGAATGAATGAAATGAAAAAAAAAAGAAAAAAAGAAGAAAAATAGAAAGGAAAAAGAAGAAAGAAATAAAGAAGAAGAAAAAAAGATTAGGAAAAGAAGAAGAAAAAAATGAAAATGAATGAAAAAGGAAGAAATAAAAGCAACAAAAACAAACAAATGTTGTTTGAACTACGTTCGACCTGATACCTTTTAAGGATACGTAGGCAGCCTTACATGGTTCGGTCCTATCAAAACAAAAATCCAATTCCCCAGACCCAAAGAAACTGGGGCAGAAGTTTTGGTTTTGCAAAAGATCTTATTCCAAAAGTTGTAATTTTGAACTCTTTCATCTTAAATTATTTTGAGCCTTCATTCCACCCTTTCTTTCTAACCCTATCCAAAAGCCTATATTACGGTCCCAAGAAAGACCTTCCGATCAATCTTTGAGAATGACAAGTCAAGGGAGATACAGGTATGATTTACATCATGGGTAGCATTTTGTTCATGGGCACATGAGAAAAAATTTTAAATCAGAGAGTCTTATTGGTGAAAACCCTCACGGGAACCGTAAGGCGATGGTGAGCTGAGAGAAAATTTAAAATGAGAGAGTCTTATTGGTGAAAACCCCTGCGGGCACCGTAAGACGATGGTGAGTTGAGAGATGAACAAATGAGAGAGGCTTGTTGGTGAAAACCATTCGGGGAACTACAAATCAAATGAGGTTCATGACTTTACAAAGAAATTGGATCAGTGAAAGCCCGATTTTTGAAGTATGAAGACATGACATGAACTGAAACATGATTGGTTGGAAGGATTAGGCTGATCATTCCGAAATGCATTCCATGATCATTGAAGCCAGCCACTTCACTCAGATAAGTCTTCTTTTCCTATTCTTCTTCACATAGTCATCTATGTTCAAATTTTCCTTTGTTCCTTTTGCCAAAAATCATTTCACTTTGCTCTTTGAGTCTATCTTTATGAGTCTCTTTCAAGTTAGCCCTTGTTGAACATGCAGAAAAGGATTCCAAAGCCTACTACCTGCTTCTAAATTGCACAAAGCGAAGTTCGGCAGACACATCACAATTGACATGATTTAGAATAAGCAGTATGGTGATAACTGAGGTTTAGGCATTCAATTGAAACTTGAATTTTTGAAAAAATACAAGGATTCAGCAAATTTCAGAATGAAAACACAATGCAACAAATGAGTGTGAGAGATTCCGGTTATTCAGAGGTTTTGTGGTCCAGTTCCAATCAAAAGGTCAAACAACTCCTTGCTGGCCTATAGCAACTAATTAGAATGAAGCATGGCAGTGGCAGAAGCAGACACTCAGCAATGATGCCACAATCTAACCACCACGTTTTCAAATTAACAAAATTTTATTTGTTTGAAATAGGGGCAAAAAATTTGTTAATCCACAGGGACCCTCCTACGAAGAAGGCATAGTTCAGGGGCAAGAAATTCTGTTCAGAATCCTCCAAGAGGATAGCATGGATTAGATAAGTTCATTCTCGGCTTATCAGGACCCTCCTGGATAATGGGATTTAGTTATCAAGTTTTTAGGACCCTACTGGATAATGAGATTTTGTTTTCACGTTTTAAGGACCCTCTTGGATAATAGGATTTAATTTTAAGTTGTCAGGACCCTCCTAGATAATGGAATTTTATTTTAAGTTTTTAGGACCCTCCTAGATAATGGGATTTAGTTTTAAGTTTTCAGTACCCTCCTGGATAATGGGGTTTATTTTTAAGTTTTCAGGACCCTCCTGGATAATGGGATTTAGTTTTAAGTTTTCAGGACCCTCATGGATAATGGGATGTAGGTTTTTAAGTTTTCAGAACCCTCCTGGATAATGAGATTTAGTTTTCAAGTTTTCAGGACCCTCCTGGATAATGGGATTTAGGGTTTTAAGTTTTTAGAACCCTCATGGATAATGGAATTTAGTTTTCAAGTTTTCGGGACCCTCCTGGATAATGGAATTTAGGGTTTTAAGTTTTCAGAACCCTCATGGATAATGGGATTTAGTTTTCAAGTTTTCGGGACCCTCCTGGATAATGGAATTTAGGGTTTTAAGTTTTCAGAACCCTCATGGATAATGGGATTTAGTTTTCAAGTTTTCGGGACCCTCCTGGATAATGGGATTTAGGTTTTTAAGTTTTCAGGACCCTCCTGGATAATGAGATTTAGTTTTCAAGTTTTCGGGACCCTCCTGGATAATGAGATTTAGTTTTTATGTTTTTAGGACCCTCCTGGATAATGAGATTTAATTTTAAGTTTTCAGGACCCTCCTGGGTAATGAAATTTAATTTAAACTTTTCAGGGCCCTCCTGAATAATGGAATTTAATTTTAAAAGTACTCAGGACCCTCCTGGATAATGAGACCTAGTTAAATTTCAAGACCTTCATAGATAACAAGATTTAGCGTAAGTTCTATCTTTAGGAAATATAACTTAGCTTTAAAGTTGTCACTCTTAATATGAGATTTAATTTGAAGTTTTCAGGGCACTCCTGGATGATAGGATTTAGCTTTTAAATTCTTAGAGCTATTTTAGGTAACATGATTCGATTAACACTCACAGATGTGCGTAGATTCCAAACTAGGGCAAAAAAATTTCTTTTGTTTTGTCCGTTTTGTTGTAATGTCAGGCACCCACCTGGAGAACAAGGGAATACAATTCAATTTTTGGCAATCAGGCACCTACATGGAGAACAAGGGAATACTATTCGAGTTTTTGGCAATCAGGCGCCAACTTGGAGAACAAGGGAATACAATATAAGTTTTTGGCAATCAGACACCCACCTGGAGAACAAGGGAATACAGTTCAAGTTTTGGCAGTCAGGCGCCCACCTGGAGAACAAGGGAATACAGTTCAAGTTTTGGCAGTCAGGCGCCCACCTGGAGAACAAGGGAATATAATTCAAATGTTGGCAATCAGGCTTCCACCTGGAGAACGAGGGAATACAGTTCAAATTTTGGCAATCAGGCGCTCACCTTGAGAACAAGGGAATACAGTTCAAGTTTTGGCAATCAGACGCCCACTTGGAGAACAAGGGAATTCATTTCAGAGTTACTTTCAATTCGCAAATTCAAGAAGCATCAGGAGCCCACTTGAAGAACATGGTCTATTTTTCAGTTTCATGTTGAAGGATCAAGTAGAGATTCAAGGAAGATTCAAGACAAGAAGTAGATAGGATCTTGTATTTTTCTTTTACTTTTGCTGTAATTTTCCTTTTATTTTTGATGTAATGGCAGGAACCGCGGACCGGAACCTCGACGACACTTCACTCGTCTCTCCACCTCGGTATACTCCAACACTCTTCTCACTCCGAACTACACGTAGCCTGATTCCTTTATAGCCAATGATATGTAGGCAGCTCAGATACCAGGGCTCAGTCACATTCTCTTTTCTTTTAGTTTTTGTCTCTCTAAATAAGGGTCGGGTCAAAAAACATGTCTTGTTATTTTTTGTCTGAAAACACTTCATGTTTCACGTTAAAGAGGGGCAGCAGTAGACATGTAATTTTTGACCCGCACATTAGAATTACTTTTAATAGTCCTAGTATTTTTAGGATATTTATTTGAGTTTATTTCTATAGGATTTTACTTTATTATTAATTTAAATTCTAATTTTAAGGCAAAAATTAAAAAAAAATACAAAAATAGTTTCATATTTTATCCTATTTCTATTTAGTTTAGGTTAAAATATTTTTATAGTGGTATTATTTTAATTTTACCATACCTTTAACGTATTTTTATTCTTATTTTAATATGATCTTTGAAAAATAAATAGCTTCATGTCATAGTATAGTTGGTTTTAATTAATTAAGAGTGATTTCACAATTTTATAATAAATTATTTTAGAAAGGAAATTAATTTTTAGCCTTGTAGCATTAAAAGGCCACTTTTAAAAGGCAATTTTACCCCAAATTGAGGCCCAATTTCGGATATTTATAGGCCCAAATCTGGGCAACCCAATCCCCTCCCCATGCAATTGAGCCCAATCCCCTTTGACCCGCCTGACCCGCGCTCAGCCATTTTAAATCTCAGCCTTATATTCCACTCTAATCCAAGAGCCCACAATTAATTCCCCAACCACATAAAACCTTGCCATTTGCTAATCCTAACCCTAAAGACTCAANATATATGGTTTGAGTTTAGTTTTTTAGTTTTATTTCTATTTACAAAAAAAACACAAAAATATTTTAGATTCTTTTTATTTCGGATTTTCTGCTTCAACAATAGAATTCGTTGGAAGTTTGAAGATTGTTTAGTTTGTCGTCGAGATCGGGTTTTCCTGCGCCGTCCGAGTCTTGCTATTGGTTCGCAGTTCCTAGTTTGAATTTCTGTTATTTGTTTGCTGGGATTTTGGAGTCAAAGCTCTGTAGTCGACCTCACTTCTATTATCAAAGAAAAATTCAACTTCAGGTTCATCTCTTTACTCCCTCTAAACTTGTTATGGTATTGATAGTAATCTGATAGTAATCCGGATTTTATTAGTTTAGAAATTTTTTGCAAGTTTGTTTGGTTGGAATTAGCATGTGATGCGATTTCCTCATGAATCATGAGGATTTTATATTGGTTCTGATATGTTTGAGTGAAACGAATTAGTAGTATGGATGTTTGAATGAATATCTAATTAATGACACATTCCTTATGATCGTCATGAGTGTTTTGCTGATTTTTGTCGGTTTCGGCATGAAATAAGTACTGGAATTCCTTTAAAATTATTCTCGCTGTTGGTTCTGCTCAATCTTTCTATGTTATACTGCAACTTCTTGCCTAAAGCGATCTAGATGAGGTTCTTTGGGTGTTAAAATAATTTTTAAGTCATGCTAATTTTTAACTATTTTAGCATCGTTAGTTTTATGTCAAAAGATAGTGTCTAGAGGTGTCATGATACAGTCTAAATGGACTTGATTCCTTGTGCTTGGGTGCTGCTGCTTTGGTTCTTAAAATTCGACAACATTTAATTAGGATACAAGTTTATTTGTTGTTATTTTGTGTTGATCAGCTTTCCACTGTATTGAAACTCTGCTAGCTCACTTTTTAAGTAGGTATTCTCTTAGTAAATTCTCTTTGTGGTCGCTTAAAATATTTGCATCGTTTTGCGAATTGCATAATTTGGGTAGAAATTTGAGTGATACGTACTGCCAAGGTTCTAAATGAGGAAATTGCTTCAGCTATAAGATAATTGTTTATTCTGTCTGGAAATCTATGATATGCATTTTAATGTGTTGCACTTTATCTATCTTCAAATTAGAAGGGGGTAAGGCACAAAGAGGGGTACACTAGTGTAATACAACTCTTATCATACTTGGATCCATTCTCCTTATTTTATTTATTAGTTTTTCCTCTATTTCTTCATTTGTAGTTGTTCGGCGCCTACTAGTTATGCATGAATTTTTTGTTGAATGAATGATTTGGGACGTGGGAGTTGGGAAAAAGACTTGGCCCATTAGTGTTGATTTGCTTACATATTTAGGAATTGGGCTTGGTCTAAATACATGAAAATGATACGTTAAAAAAACATGACCCCGAGTCGAATTTATTTTAGTTTTTCTCTTATTTACTTATTCTCATTTTATTCACTAGGAGCATGCTACGCCGTCAACACTTGGTTAGGCAAGCCTTAGGATTTTTGTTAGTTTCGAGGTGAGAGGTCGTTCCCTTAGTTAAATTTATCCGTGGAATGCCCCAAAGGATTTGTATATATTTTTATCCGGGGAGTGCCCCGTAGTACTTGTATTTGGAGGCCAAAAGTAGAGCTTGTAGTATTTTGTTTTTATTTTATTTTTCTTTTATTAGGTGGGGACGATCTCGAGCCGTTTTGTGTGTTTATTTTTCTGTGTTTGTTTTACCTCAATTCAAATATTCTGAAAGTCGACTAGATCAAGTGTGCAACCGTACTAGTTGGAGGACTTGGGGAGTGCCTAATACCTTCTCCCCGAGTCAAATGAACCCCCTTACCCGAATCTCTGGTGTAGACATAATTTTGGAGTCTAAAGTGTTTTAAAGGAAAAATTAAGGTTTTAAAAAAAATGATGACCTGACACACCGAAATTAAAGTCAGGTGGCGACTCTGAGTTATTTCCTTTTGAACACAATTTTGTCACTTTTTTTAGTTAAAAACCTTTTGAGCTTTACAAATCCTTTCTATTATTTTTAAGAGGGTTAGTGAGTTTTTTTTAAAAAAAACGGTGTGACAACTCTTGCCAAGCTGGGAGGTAAGGCAAGCTCATAACGCCCTTCATAGGCAAAACCCAAAGCAAGACCCGCTCTCCAACCATATAGGAAACATCACGAACCTTCCGATCCGCATAACTCTTATGTCTGGAATGGGCTGTATGGCATCTATCCTGAATTATCTTAACCTTCTCCACGACGTCTTGAACCCAGTATGTGCCCAATAATCTAGCCTCACCCGGATCAAACCAACCCACCGAGGATCTACACCGCCTACTATACAAAGTCTCATACGATGCCATCTGAATGCTGCACTGATAACTGTTGTTGTAGGCAAACTCTGCCAGTGGCAAGAACTGATCCCAAGAACCTCCAAACTTCATCACACATGAACGAAGCATATCCTCAAGAATCTTAATAGTGCGTCGGAATGTCCGTCCGTCTGGGGGTGAAATGCTATGCTCAACTCCATCCGAGTACCCAACTCATATTGTACGACCCTCTAGAACCGTGATGAACTGAGTATTCTGTTTGAAATGATAAAAACTGGAATACCATGCAGACAAAAAATCTCCCAGATATAAATCTCTGCCAACCGCTCTGAAGAATAGGTAGTACACATAGGAATGAAGTGCGCGGACTTGGTCAGTCGATCCACCAACACCCAAATGGCATCGAACTTCCTCAAAGTTCGAGGGAGTCCAACTACGAAGTCCATGGTGATTCCCTCCCACTTTCACTCCGGAATCTCTATCTGCTGAAGCAACCCACCCGGTCTTTGGTGCTCATACTTTACCTACTAACAATTAAGGCACCAAGCTACAAACTAAACTATATCTTTCTTCACCTGCCTCTACCAATAGTGCTTCCACAAATCCTGGTACATCATCGCGACACTCGCATGGATGGAATACCGCGAACTATGGGCCTCCTCTAGAATCAACTCCCGAAGCCTATCAACATTGGGTACACATACCAGACCCTGCATCCTCAATACCTCTTCATCACCAATAGTTACATCACTGGCATCACCGTGCAGAACCTTGTCCTTGAGGACGAGCAAATGAAGGTCATCATACTGACGCTCTCTAATATAATCAAATAAGGAAGACCGAGAGATCATGCAAGCTAGAACCCGACAAGGATCCAAAATATCAAATCTCATAAACTGGCTAGCTAAGGCCTGAACATCCATCGCCATGGGCCTCTCCGCTGCTGGTAGATAATCCAAACTCCCCAAACTATCCGCCCGACGACTTAAAGCATCGACCACCACATTGGCCTTGCCCGGATGATACAAGATAGTGATATCATAGTGCTTCAATAGCTCTAACCATCACCTATGGCGCGAATTAAGATCCTTCTGCTTGAACAGATGCTGCAAACTCTGGTGATCAGTATAGATCTCACAAGGAACGACGTACAAATAATGACGCTAGAACTTTAAGACGTGAACAATAGCAGCTAATCGAGATCATGGATAGGATAATTCTTCTCATATACCTTCAACTGTCTGGATGCATAGGCAATCCCCCTATCGTCCTGCATCAATACCGCTCCAAGGCCAATCCTCGAGGCATTACAATAGATAGTTTAAGACCCCGAACCTGTAGGCAATATCAATACTGGGATTGTAGTCAAATCCATCTTGAGCTTCTGGAAGCTCCCCTTACACTCTTCTGTCCACTAGAACGGAGCACCCTTGTGGGTCAGCCTGGTCATAGGTGTTGCAATAGATGAAAACCCCTCAACAAATCAACGATAATAACCCGCCAAGCCAAGAAAACTATGGATCTCTGTAGCTGAGGATGGTCTAGGCCAACTCTGCACTGCTTCCACTTTCTTTGAATCTATATGTATACCCTCACTCGATACCACGTGACCCAAGAATGCCACAGATTCCAATCAAAACTCACATTTCGAGAACTTTGCATATAACTTCTTTTCCCTCAAAGTCTAAAGCACTGTCCTTAGGTGCTGCTCATGATCGTCCCGACTCTGGGTGTATACTAGAATATCATCAATAAAGACAATGACGAACGAGTCAATATATGGACATAACACACTATGCATCAAATGAATGAAGGCTGTTGGGGAATTGGTCAGCCCAAATGACATAACAAGAAGCTCGTAATGACCATACCGAGTCCTAAAAGTAGTCTTTGGGATGGCTGCTCCCGAATCTTCAATTGATGGTAACCTGAACGCAAGTCAATCTTAGAAAACACTCGTGCACCCTGTAGGTGGTCAAACAAATCATCAATACGAGGCAAAAGGGTACCGGTTCTTTACTGTAACTTTGTTCAACTGGCGATAATCAATGCATATACGCATAGAACCATCCTTTTTCTTCACAAACAAGACAGGAGCACCCCAAGGTGATACACTGGGCTGAATAAAATCCTTATCAAGAAATTCCTACAACTGATCCTTCAACTCCTTCAACTCAAGAGAAGCCATACAGTACAGAGAAATAGAAATGGGCTGAGTGCCCGGCAAGAAATCAATGCCATAATCAATATCTCTATCGGACGGCATGCCCCGAAGGTAAGTTGGAAGCACATTAGGGAAGTCCCGTACTACTGGGACTGAATCAACTGTAGGGGTATCAACACTAACATCTCTCACATAGGCTAGATAAGCTTCACACCCCTTCGCAACCATTTATTGAGCTTTAAGGAAAGAAATAACTCTACTGGAAGTGTGATCTAAAGTACCCCTCCACTCTACTCGCAGTACACCTGGCATAGCCAACATCAAGGTTTTGGCATGATAATCAAGAATATCATAATGGGGCGAAAACCAGTCCATGCCCAAGATAACATCGAAATCTACCATGTTGAGCAATAATAAATCGGCTCTGGTCTCAAAACCACTAAGAGCAACCAAACATGACCAATAACGCGGTTCACAACAAGAGAATCCCCTACAAAAGTAGAAATATAAATAGGGGAACTCAAAGAATCTTGAGATACGACCAAATAGGGGGCAAAATAAGAAGACACATAAGAATAAGTGGAGCCTGGATCGAATAGAACTGATGCGTCTCTATGATAAACCAGGACAATACATGTAATGACAGAATCAGAGGCAACAGCCTCAGTACGGGCAGGAAGGGCATAATATATGGCATGGCCTCCCCCTCTAGGGCGACCTTTACCTCCTTGACCTCCACCTCTAGCTGGATGAGCAGGTGGGGTAGCAACTGGTGCTTGAACCATAGCCTAGGAACTCTACGAGGC